GCAACTATTCCTTAGTCTTAGTGTCAGCCCATTGAAGCTCTTCAAGATTTCCAGAGATGGTTTCAATGGCTTTACCTTGAGCCATCAAGGTCTGGTGAAAGGTGAAAAGGGTTTTGTGAATACCTTCAACTTCTGTGGTGAGAGCGTCAGTCTTGGCAGTGGATGAAGAATTTCCTAAGTCTCTAAAGCTCTAAACACAAGATCTAAGACCACAAAGCAAAAGATATGAAGAAAGGGAAGAACAGGTAAAGAACTGACCTCAAAGATAAGGATTTGATCGAATGCAAGTGTTTATCTCTCTAGAAATTTTGGCAGAGCTTCGCTATCACTTAAAATCGCACAGAGGAAATGAGCTTGGCCTTGGGGTATTTATAGGCTCCCAGCCTCGAAGTATGGGCCTCGATTTGAAAAACCTATATATATCATTACAAACTGCCACTTCGCCCAATGGGTGGCACCCGCCCGCCTTCGGCCAAAAGGAGCATGCCACGTGGATCACACCTCTAACGACTCTATTACAACGGTTATATCTCAGAAACACCAGAGTGCCCTCAGATGATAGCCTCCGGCTATCATCCACAGCATCCTTCGGTGAGTCCACTGTCATAAAATGCCTTCGAGCAAGCAGCAGCATAAGCCTTCGGCTTATCAATGTTGCCACCCCTCGGTAGCTCATCAACACATCATAACTCCTTCAGCCCGAACTAGCCTTCGGCCTGAAGGAGTGGGGGACTGGGAGAACCCCTCGGGGAAACTATAAACAATGCTTACATTTATAAAATCAACACACATAGCCTAAGGCAAATAACTACACAACTCCCTCAGGTGCATTCTATCACAACACCCTCTGGGAAAAACAAAAATGTCAAAACTTTGCAGAAGTCACTTGCAACACATACAGGCACCGCAACTACATTTCCCTCAGAAATCCCTCGACATGTGGGGGACTGAGGGAAGCCTTCGGCGAACAGCAGAGGGCAAGTGCTCAGTCAAAGGAACCCAACAGAACGATGAAGCCTTTGGGAGGATCACCACAATTACTCCTTTTTCCTCAAGTACCTTTCGACAAAAGGAGTGAGGGACTCCTGATGGAGTATATGGCCCAGGAATCCCCGGTCCACAGACTCCTACTACTCTATCACAGGCCCGGCCCAAAGAGCCCAAGAAGCGCAGGAGGCCCAAGATGCTAAGATGATGCGGCCCAAGCTCTAGGAGAACCGCGGTGCACATACGGGTAGCCTTCGGCACTATGGCCGAAGGCTCCAAAACTCACAGAACAGCCATATTCGAGCATACAAAGCTACTGGGAGAAAATGGCAGAGAACGGGAGCCCTCGGCATTAGAGAAGCCTTCGGCTGAACCAAGCCCTCGGCTATACAGAGCCTTCGGCTACACGGAGCCCTGGGCTGTGTGGAATGCCTTCGGCTAACAGGCTCAATCATCGAAGATTCCCTTTGGAGACAGCCAACCACCACATTTAATGCGGCATCACGTCCACCCACCGCATTTAATGCGGTGCACATGCGAGTGCCAGTGCCACTCCGATTGAGGTGACCCCTCGGCATTTAGATTATTGACACGTGTACCCTCATCGCATTTATTGCTGCTATAAATAGCAGCCCTTATTCCTCTTGTAAAGACGATAACATCTCGAGTTCATTAATAGAATTGCCTCTCTCTCCTACTTGTTTGCTCTGACTTCTCTCTAGGTTATTCTCATAATAACCCCCCCCCCCCCCCCCCCCCGGATAAGCTACCCCCCGGGTACACTCTCCATCAACTATGTTAAGTCGGAAGAAAATATTGCGGATCCACTAACCAAACCTCTACTAAGGAAGTTGGTCGAGATGTCAAGGAGAGCAATGGGCATACGGTCAATGGTCCAATAAAAGTCCATGGGGAAACCCTACCTATTATTGAGAGTGCCTCATAATTAGGTTCAAAGGGAAAACACAACTGTGGACTGGCTCGGGCGGTACTAGCCAAGATATAGTACATTCATGCCAAGAGCATTTAGGGTAAGTTACGCTTTTAATGATCTCTATATCTTGATTCGTTCAAGTAAGGTATGGCATGATACCTTCCATAGAGATCACCTATGCTGGTGGAAGAAGGCCGCTTCTATGAGAGTTTATGGCACGAGATAAATTCTCCGGTGCACGATAAACTCTCGAAAACACTAGCTGAACTAGGAGGCGTTCAAAGCCGAAACGAACACAAACGTGAGAACCAAAGATGCACTCGGGGCTCTGTGTGTTATTCATTGTCTAGGTTTACACAATGGCTGACGGTTCAAAGCAAGTGCTACCGATTGTCCAGTAAATCCGATGGATATACACCAAGGTAGGTTCAAAGTTTCACGACTACCTAACCCTATGCAGAGTTCCCATCTTCCCATGTCAAATTCAAATCTGTTTCTTGTCTTTAAGCCAATTTCCCATTAATGTGGGGGATTGTTGGAAAAATGGTTTTACAAATTTATATTAATAATATTATTTGTGAAAAACCATTTTAAAAAGAATGAGAAATTGTTCCCCGAAAGATAAGCGTGGAATTATATTTAACACGCACACACACTGCCACCGTCAGTCGGTCGGATCGGGTCAGGTTTCGGGTTAGAGTCTTAAACCGTCTGCCCGAGTATATGGCTTAAAGATAATTCTATTAGTCGCTCTCAATTTTGGATAATGTTTGGCAATAGACACATCCATTGGTTTTAGAAGGAGGGTCACGACCTTTCTTTCTAAAGGTGTCTTTTGGGTGTAGAGTCTCCTGGCCAGAGCTCTATATATACCCATGACTGCCAGCATTCTCAATCAATCCAAAAATCATCACACAATCCTCCATATTATATCTTCCTTCGTTGCATCTTTGAGTTCGCCGGAATCCCGTTGGGAGCGAAGAACCGTTCTATCCTGGGAGACGATTGCTACGTGTGTCAGGCAAAAACGTCTTAAGGAAACAACGCTTAAGTTGAGCTCGGTTACAAGTAATCATACGTTTTTCTTTAATTATTTATTCGTTATTTCATTTGCATGCAGAATATTATACATACATATAACATATTTATTACTTAATCTCATTATTTATGTTTATTAGGATCTGGGAGAAGTGAGAATAGACCTATACTGAGTTTGTTCACATTGTTAGACCGTAAGCCATCCTTGAAAGCTTCATTATTAATATCACAAAATTTCAAGCTTAATTGAAGGCATAAAGCTCAAATTGATGATATAATTGTATTGCTTAGTTACCAAAGTTAAGCAAAAGGAAAACTAATCGACTTTTGCATTCATTTTACTATAAATAAATATTGTACATGTAGCTATGCAACACAAATAGAATAAAAGGAAAAAAATACAGATTTTCATCACCAAAGATATTCAATAATTGAACAAGAGTATAGCAATACTAATTTCGAACATAAACCAGTAGCAGGGGATATAGAGGTGCTGGGTGATGTGGCTAATAACGAAATGCTCCATATATTAAAACAATTCATGTCTATAAGATGGAATCTGAACAAGCAAAAGATTGGGTTAACAATCAATATATATATATATATATATATATATATATATATATATATATATATATATATATATATATATATATATATATATATATATATATATGTTTTTATATATATATATATATATATATATATATATATATATATTGATATGGAAACAAAAATCCTTATAAATCCACCTTAATTAATTTGGTAAGCTTCAAATAAGTAAAATAATTTTTGGTTATCAAAGTGAAGTTCTAATAACGTTTATTGATATGGAAACTAATTTATATTAGTTTACTACACCGAATTAAATAGAAACAAAAATGCAAATTAGTTTACTTATTAATTTGACACCTATTAATAAAATAGTAAGCTTCAAATAAGTAAATAATTAAAAATGAAATAAAATTTTTAACCAACATTAAGTATATTTCTTTGGTATATATGTTTAGCTTAGCCAAATAAGTAAATTTTTTGGTTGTTTCTTTATTTTACATCTAAAATTCAAATATGCATTCACTTTTGAAATAGATTCTTAATCCAAATTAGAAAATCTTTATAGGTTTACGAATTCCTACTTTTATTTTAATAGAATGTTTTTAATTGGGTTGATTTCAGTTTTAGATTAAATCAGATCAGATCAGATCAAACTTTAATAATTATAACAATAAGTCACATAAAAAACAGACATCTAATAGACCATATTAATTCATACCAAATCAAACCCGAAATTTTAATTCAATTAAAAAGATTTTTATTAATGAGTAAACTGTAAGATCTAAGAAATATAATTTTTTTATTATAAGCGGTCACACACGTCTATTCTTCGACGGAGCACGATGGTAGCAGCCCAACGGAAAACGGCGGTGACACACGTCTATTCTTCCGCGTACAAGGAACTCAAAACCAGACCAGGTGTCACATCACATTTATTATTCTATGGCTTCTGATCAGATCTGTAATATCTATCTAGATTTGGTGTTGGGTGTTTGTTCTATTTTAATGGAAAGCCGATTTGATGATAAAAAAAATTCTAGAACATACTTTCTCCGTCCCGCTAACAATGGGACAAGAGGGAGTGACACACAAATAAATAAAAAGTTATTTATGTGGTTGATATTGAATTGATAAAGTAAGAATATAGTAAGAGTGATTTAAAATCACACAAACTTTGTCAAATTTGGTATGAGACCATCTTAGTGGGACGGAGCGATAAGATAAAACGGGACAATCATAGCGAGATGAGGTAGTATAATTTTAGGCATTTAGGCTTTAGCGTCTGGCAGATGTGTTCTATGCAAATGTGTTCATGTGAACATCCAAAAATAAAAAAATAATGAGAATATATATATATATATATATATATATATATATATATATATATATATATATATATATATATATATATATATATATATATATATATATATATATATATATATATCTGAATTAGAGTAATAATTTATTTAATACTCCTTAGTATCTTAAAGATAAAATGTGTAATTCTAAACACCCAAAATGAAAATACTAAGTCCTTTACGGTTGGTGTGTGTTCCATAATCCAGAGAGTTTTGAGTTAAAAATAATGGAACATTCTTCGGTGCAACTCTGCAACCTTATCGTGAAAAGTTACGGTGCATCCTCGTGATAAGGATAACTAGATTTGAACTGCTTGAAAGATGGGAGTCAAGGAATAATCAAAATGTTGATGAGTCTCAAGAAGTATCCATGGACTCATTGAACATTAAAATCATTTCTTGCTTGACTACAAAGTAAAGTCTTTCCCTGCTAATTGATTACAATTGATAGATATTCCATAATTTTTTTTTATTCATATCATCACGTGTATACAAAATGGAAATTGAGGATCGTTTTTAAACAATGTTCAGGTTGAATATTTCATATGCAGTTTAGATAAATAGGCACTCGTAGCAATAAGATAGATTGTCTTTGCTCTGTTTCTGAGTCGTGTCATGTAAGTATTAAGTAAATTATACCCTATTTTTAAAATTTGAGAAAATAATCAATAGTATGTATCAAATTTTGCTGATTTTACGTTTAGATAATGTTGATTATCCAGAAGTCATAACTTTTTACTCATAATGAGTTACGTGGGTCGTACTATATCAAATCGAAGATATTTCAGAGCTCTATACTGTCAAACTTTCAGCGGGGTCGGCTGACCACCCTGACCTCCCTTTGGCTCCACCCCTGCATATCATGCATGATTCATATTGATACTTTTGTATGCTTAATATGCACTCTTGGTTTTGTATTTTAATTAAAGTGATTGTTGAGTAAAGTTATTTGCTTTTGTTTGGACGAGGTGCTGAAGCTATATGTGCATTTTTTGTTTAAATTTTCTGAGAATTATTAGTTTTATGTTTTTACTTTGGCAGAGACTAATTGAATATGACTTATATGATGAATGCGAGTAGTATTTTGCCGCATAATTATTGTATTCTTTAATATTTACATGAATTTCAAAACATGCCTTGGCCCTTTTAAATTTAGTGTACTCTGATAATGTTATTCATCTCTCTACGGTAGCAATGGAGGTCATAAGATTCTAAATAATTTGACTTGCTTAAAATATATAGCTCAATTCTTTTTGCTCCTAAATGTTGAAATGGTTCCATTTCAGCAAAAGGGTCTGTTTAAAGATTGGCCGTCAAGGAAAGAAAATTGCAATAAAAACAGAGAACATTTGGGGGGAAATAAGAGTTAGTTTGGTAACCTTGTTTTTTGTCTTATCGGGCTTGTCAACTAACATTTTCACTCAACGTTTAATTTTTATTTCGCATGTTGATAAAGTATGGTTTGAGTTACTTTTCTGGTTGTATTGGCTGAAGTTACAGTGGGAGATCATTTAGTTTAATAATTTTTTATATATTTTAAGAATTTCCAACCCCCATTTCGGTATTAGTGGACGGGCTCTACATGTTTGCTCATGAATGAAAATCTAGCAATTTTTCAAATCCAATTCATTCATTTTTTAGCCTGTTGGTAACATGAAAATGGATTGATTCTATTGAAATTTACGAAGTTTAGGTGAAGTGATTTCATTTATCGTGCCACCAAATACTAAGTAACTTCATCCTCCCCTGAATGAAAATGGTACTAACTTTCCACGCCAACAAACGAACCGTCATTTTTGGTTCATCACCCGCCCTGCTACTTCGTACACCAAGTTACTGCATATGTTTTGCTGCCACCTCCCAACACCACTCATATTTATGACTTGGAAATGGTGAGAACCTAATAACCTATTGTCTGAATGCGATACAGAGTAGTAGAAGAACTCATACTGCATTCGCTCATTGCTGTATTGCATTTTCTCAAAAGATTGATTTTGTTTGTTTATAGTAGTCCGGGTTTCACTGGACTTTCTAAGGTATATTGAATGCATGTTTGTGATGAACATATTTGAGGCATGTTGGAGCTGAATCTCATACAAAGCTTTCAAAAGAAACATCACATTTTGTGCTAAAAATATGTGCTTTGGTATTTTGCTTTCGTGTATAGTTCCTATAATTCTATGTTTTATGAAAATCCATTTTGACTATAATGTTTGAAAAAATCTGGGGAAGAGCTAGAGAGTAGTGATAAGTTACTGACCCTCCTTACTAAGAATTTGTTTGTTTACTTCATTTTTACCTATCTATGTTATGTGGGTAAAGGTTTCTTGTGGGTAAATATGGATCACCAGCTTAGAAGTTTGGGATACTCCGATATAAACAGACCCGAGTTGGAGAGTGACATAATCTTTTCTGCCTTTAAACAACCAGGTGACATTCCAGAGGGCTATAATGGCGCCCTTTCAATTCCACAACGTCCTAACCATGCTCCTTCTATAGGCTCTGATCGAATGATCGAGTACCTTAACCAGATACTACTGCTGGAAGAGAGCATTGGTGATGAGAACAACCATGATGCGTTCTGTGATCCCATTGCGCTTAGAGCTACAGAGGATTCTTTCTACGAAGCCTTGCTTGAGAGGCCTTCCTCACATTTTGACACCTCAGTTGGAAGCTACACGTATCATGTTGGTTCTACTGATCTCTTTCCAGGAGAATCATTCGTGGCATGTGATTCTCCCGATCTCTCCATCCAGCCATCATCATGTCAGACTGACTCGGATGAACTAAACTGTTTATCATATAATGTCGATAGTGGAATTATTTCTCGACTAGACGCTTACCTAAGTGCTGCTGATTCAGTTCCAAATGGTTTCTGTGATCTTGGAGCTGCATCCATCTTGCAGTTCAAGAGAGGTGTGGAAGAAGCTAGTAAATTCTTGTCTCTTGGTGTCAATGAATACTCAATGCCTCCACTAACTGAGGACTTGATCAGAGGTGTTGTTGTCGATATAGAGAGGGAGCATTCTGCCGATTCACGGCGTGGAAGGAGGAAGCATTACTGCCCAGATGAAAGTGTTCTAGAAGAAGAAAGGAGCATGAAGTTCTCTGCAGTTCATACGAAGGATGAGGTTGAGCTATCAGAGGTGTTGTTTGATAAGGTTTTGCTGTGTACCGATGAAGATAATGATTCTCCAATAAGAGTCAGACGCACACAAAAGAAAGGGCAAAGTGGCCGGAAGAGCCATTCAAAGAAACAAGGTGAAGTTGTGGATTTGGAGGATCTTTTAAACTGTTGCGCACAGTCCGTTGCTGATGCTGATTATAGAGCTGCAGTAGATAAACTGAAGAAGATCAGGCAGTACTCTTCCCCTACTGGCGATGCAAGCCAAAGGCTGGCTCATGCATTTGCTGAAGGTCTTGAGGCACGGTTGTCTGGAACTGGGACACAACTTTATGTTCCTCCATTTCGTAATACCGTCGTAGTTTCCGGGTTGATAAAATCCCACTTGTCATCATGTGTGCCATTTATGAGATTAATATACATGTTTTCAAATCAAATGATTTACGAAGCAGCATTAGGAGGCTCATCATTGCACCTTATAGATTTTGGTATTCTCCATGGTATCCAATGGCCGACTCTTATTCGGGATCTTTCACAAAGGCCTGGTGGCCCTCCAAGACTTCAAATTACAGGGATTGAGCTTCCCCAACCTGGTTTTCGCCCATCACAAATGCTAGAGGAAACAGGTGTTCGCTTGGGAAAATATTGCCAGCGTTTCGGTGTACCATTCGAGTACAATGCCATCACAGCACAAAATTGGGAGGCACTTAAGATTGATGACTTGAAGCTTGCAAGTGGTGGTGAGGTGGTTGCAGTTAACTGTGTTTTTCGATTCAAACGCCTCTTGGATGATACAGTATTTGGTGGGGACAGCCCTTGCCCCAGGGATGCAGTTTTAAACTTGATCCGGGAAGTGAATCCTCATATTTTTGTGCACACTGTCCATACTGCATCTCACAGCTCTCCTTTCTTTCTCACTCGATTTCGAGAGACTCTCGGCTTATACTCTTCTTTCTTTGATGCGCTTGATGCATTTTTCCCACGCCATGATAGTGAAAGATTGAATTTTGAACAAGGACTTATGGGGCCGGAAATAAGGAATATCATTGCTTGTGAAGGCATGGAAAGAATAGAGAGGCCAGAAACATATAAGCAGTGGCAATCTCGCACTATGAGAGCTGGGTTCAAGCCTGTGCCCTTAAACCCTGAACTTGTGCAGAAGTTAGCAATCAAGGCCGAGAGCATATGACAAAAACTTCCTGTTTGCTGAAGACGGCCATTGGGTACTGCAGGGTTTGAAAGGTCGGATTGTTTGGGCTACTTCTTGCTGGGTAGCTGCATGATAATACTGTTCTAATTTAAGCTCTAACACTGTTGGAATTTAAGTACTGTTCTGAAACATTGCAGAATCATTCGAGCCATTATCATTTCACTTTTCTTGTGTTTCATAATTTAAAGCGTGGAAAAATTGTTGGTGTGAAGACATCATCTTTCAAAATTTGTTGTAATAAAGCTGACCTGAGAACAACAGCTATCTAGCTCTTAATTTTCTCTTCAGAAAATCATATGTTAATGCCTTTATGTCTGGTATCTGGGTTACTCAGATGACTAATTATTTCGCACAACTATAATCACATTATTTGGGAGTGTAATGCGGATCAGTACAATGATAACATTATGAGTGTATTTTATAACAAGGTACGAAGTGTATTTTAACAAGCTTCTTTTCAACTGAGTTGAACATATTAATAGTCTTAAACGAATTCATTTTTTTAAAATAATTTATCTTAGTGTACTGATTTGTAGAACATGTAATTTTAGTCATTTGACATGTGTTCCATAATCTAAAGAAGTTTGAGTTAAAATAAATAAAGCAACTGGTTAGTAATATAATTGATCCAGAAACTATTTAGACACTTAGGGTGTGTTTGGGAGTTCCAGAGTGAGAGAAGTGGAAGGTTTTGAAGGGAAGTAGAGAGAAGGGAAAGGGAGGGAATGAGAAGGGATTCTCTCCTCTTGTTTGGGAGTTCAAATTTCAAAAGTGGAGAGTTTTGGGACTTGAGGTGTTTCAGCGACGGAGAAATAAAGCGAGTAGCAGCTCATAAAATTTTTATGCGGAAACTGTATTAGTTTCAGAGGATAAATATGTCATTTGTGTAGCTAAACCTTAGAAAACCCTCAAATCGGGAAAATCAGAAAACACAGGTTTTGGAGTATTTAGAATGATTTTATAACACCCCCAAAACCTTTCCCTCGTATTATTTGAACTCTCAAACACAAATAGGAGGATTTATTTCCCTCACATGCTTTCCCCTCCCCTCCAAAAACCAACTCCCAAACACATTCTTACAAAATAATACGTAGTACTAGCTTCTTGTTATTTTGAAAGGTAGAGGTTCAGAGGTTTCCGGTTTCCAATTTGGTGCGTCTTTCAAAATGGATGCTTTCATTTGATTGTGCTGATTTCTTAATGTTCTTATTGTGAAGAAGTAAAAATAAGAAGATAAATACTCATTTCACTTATAGCAAATGACAATAAGTCTCAATGTAGTACGTCCATAATTCCATATACAATTTTCTTTGCTAGTAATTGTTTTTAGTGAATAGCGAATACATGCATTTACCAGGGAGTGAAAACTAATTTGTAATGTTTCAAAACTCTTATGCTTATTTTAATCATTTTGGTCAATATATGATATCTATACGTATATGTACATGTGGAACATTTTGACGGAGTAAAATATCTCCTGCAACCGTTTCCCTAGCATTCTAGGGTTTTTCTTTCGGGCGGTGAGTTTTTCACTGTGTTCGACAGTTTTAGTCTACCGTATAAGGTAGTGTTCAAAGTTTGCTTAGGCAGGATTTTGGAGTAGCGGTGAGATCCCTGTAAGTGTTCATATGATTTCAAGTGTGAAGCTTCTGCCTAGTGCAAGTCTAGTTCGGGGTTGGATGTGCGGATTCAAGGAGAACGTGATGCACAAAGAGAAAAGTGAGAAAGAAAATGCAATATTGCTAATCCGTCCCCCAATGAAACCACCATCATGGAGGGATCAAGTTGTTAGAGTTTGGAAAAAGATGCTTCAAATTTGGATCTGGCCGAATGCGGTTTATAGCTCTGCTTTTCATTCCAGTTTTACTTATGCCTTTTAGACATTTTACTATATTTTGGCTTGTTTGTATTAGAGGTATTTTGGGGTTGCTTATGACCGCTATTTGTTTCAAATCTTCCGTATGTTCAGCAAAAAGTTTCTCTCTGTTTTGGGTGAATTTTTCTATGATCAGGGAGTAAGGGAACTCTTCGGCTATTTTGAGTTTATTAAAGAGGTAAAGAGTACGGTGACCTCAAGGGTCAGAAAGAAGTCTATTTTGTTCTTTTGGTGGTCAACGATTCATGTTGCTTCTTTTGAAGTGGCCGTTTCAAAGTCTGATCATGAGGCTTTTCTTGAGTCTAGATGGAGTCTGTTAGAAGATTGTTGACGGATCTTGAGTTTTTGACTGGTTGTAACTCCAAATTATTGGTTAAATTGATATAGTTTGACGTTTCTTTAAAAAACATATATGTATGTATATGTAGGTGTGTGTGCGTGCCAACAATTTCACACGTATTCAAGAAATATGAGTAAATTTAATATGAAATTTCAAATTATGAGTGCTATATTTTCATTAAATAAAAGTAAATATGCGAGTACTGATTGTATAATTGATAGTATTCTTCAAACATGATTATAATTACTCAAATTTAGGACAAAAACATCTCTCCCTCTCTAGGGTTTTGTTCTTCCACTATCGTCATTGACGAAGAGCGGTCGTCGGTGGATTTTGGTCATGCAAAAAGGCTCGTGACCAAGTATGCAGGGCTTTGGCGGTCGTGGCTAGCTCGTCTTCTACTGTTGTTTCTGGTCAACGGGCGAGGGTTGACAAAGAAAAGACTGATAAGTTGTGGCGGAGCTTGGGTTCGATTCAACAACCAGGGATATCAATGGAGGATATCGTCAATCAATACAAAAGCATGACTATTGAGGCGATGAATGGCGGGCTCGTCCCCTCCCGAACCGCCACCATGGAGTGAAAGAGAGTCTAGGGTTTGGAAGAAGATGAATGAATTCTGTTTTAATTCCGTTTTATTTTGTTTGTGTTTTTCTTTTGAATTGCATGTTGTTTTGGGTGTGTTCTTATTTCCTAGCAGAAAGATTCTAGAATTTAGGTCAGGTGATGAGAAGTCTTGTTTGTCTGTCATTGGCTCAGTGCCCATTACAGGAACGACGAATTTTATTGTTTCTATAGAGGTGATAGATTCGAAGTCTGGTTCAAGGGCGGACGCAGACAAAAGGCTTTTTATCGTTTTGTTTCTTTCTTTTTATCCGATTGTATTTAAGGCAAGTGACGAAATTTTTCTTGATTTAATATATTTGTTGGTTTAATGATAAAAAATGTTGATGTGGTCTCACTAGTACAAAAAACACATTTTATAACTAGCTTTTTATATGGGTTCCTTTAAACCCCTTATAAAATGTAGGCGCGGGGTCATATTTATAAATAATGAAAGTTTCGAATAACTTAATGGGTAAGTATTATAAATATAAAACTTTGTCCATAACGGGTTTATAAATAACCGACATAGTTAACTAAAGACGAGGTTATTTTTTTTTTATTTTCACAAACTTAAGTTTCAAATGAGGTCTTTTTTATAATTTTAATAAATACTTTTTTATGTCAGGTATTGTTAACCCTTACAAAAGGGTTAATCCAATTAAAAATTTAAAAACCCTAAGAGGACGCATCGTTAGGCTTCTTCAATTCGTTAGCTATCGGCGTTCCAGAAGAAAGATGAAGAGGACGCAGCTCCCCCCATTTTCACGCAGCGAGGAAGCCTCCCAATTCCGGACGACGAGCGAGGAAGCCTCCCAATTCCGGATGACGCAGCGAGGAAGCCTTCCGATTCCGGACGACGCAGCTCCTCCATTTTCACATCTCCGCCATTCGCACACCTCCCCAGTTTCTTGATTTGGGCCTTTCATCTCCTTCGCTCGGTGCCGATAATTATTTTATCTTACATACTCTATATTTATTTAGTTTTGTTATTCCTAATCGAAGCATGTCAATGTTCCTCTGGGCAAAGTTGGCTATAACGACAGTTGACCCAGGCATTTTCCTAGGGCCTCTGCTTCCAGAGGGCCTAAAAAAATACGGAGTACCAGACCATTAATCATATAAGATTTTAATTTTTAATTTTAATACTCGTAAAATTAGAGTTGGTTGCGGCGGCTCCTGAACTCCAATATATAGCCGCTGAACTCTAATAGCCGAACAAAGTAACTTGACTGTTTGAGGTAAATACTTGACGCACCAAAGACCTTCCTGCTAGACAACTTGACTAGTTGAGATAAATATTACTCTTAAATAAAAGATAAAACTAATAAACTTGAGCTTATGATTGAAGATGAAAGTTACTGCTGTTAGCCACTTGGGCTTGACATTGCTTATTCCGTTGTTCTATATTGATATATCAAATAATTTGGTAAATACAATAAGTAATTTTAGCTTTAGTTTATTAGAACGTGCCATCCAATAGAAATATATATCTAGCTTTTAGTGGTTACAGTAAAGTAGTTATTTTGTTTGATTTGTGATTCTCACTTTTTTGTGATTTGTAAATTTAACTTTTTGTCGACTTATCTATTAGTGATTTTTTCTATGGGATTTGTGCAATCACATTTTATTTGTGAATATTCTGGTTATGGATGTTTTGTTTTTATGTACTGTGACATAATCGAACCATTTCATTTGTTTTTTTATTTCCAGATCCTAATAATTAATCTGTTTGGTGTTTTTGTTTTCTGTTTTTGGACGCCGCTTGTTTGGCATTTGTGTTCTGTTTTTTGGAAGCTTGAGTCTTTTTTTGGGATGTCATGTGTCTGGTTTTATTGGCTTTAACGAATTACTTATTGTTAGAAGGCTACATGTGAATAACATGTTTCTGTATGAAAGTTTGAAATTAAACAAGGTTAATGACCAATTAACGAACGACTGTCTTAAAATATTAGGGTTGTCGGGCTCTCAACCAGTGAGGCTATGAGTTGTGGTCTCTTGGATATATTTTAGTGTACATTTTATTATTGTAACATTTGTTTGTACCCTATACGTACGTATTAGATTAGGAAGGGATTTGCTCCATTTATTTGTTTCCTTAGTTAGCTCCTAGAATCTCTCCCAAAGGAGATAGTTACAATGTTACATACGTTACTACTCCATGAGAGCATAGTTGTATATAATCCATACACTTTGTATTTTGAGACATACAATACGAAAACATTTCTCTCCTTCCTCGTGTAATTTAATATGGTATCAAAGCATTGATTCGGGACCAACGAATCACGCTCGTGCGAAGTTGATATGGCCGGAAAAACCACCCATTCCGGTGGTGACGGCCATCATGAACACCTGGAACGGCGGAAGATTAACGATCCTTCGTCGCCGTATTTTTTGTCAAGCTCGGATCATCCCGGAATGTTGATTTGCGCAGTTGTTCTCAAAGGGGAATGCTCCTAGAG